CACCAGTCAGAATGGCTAAGATTAAAAACTCAGGTGATAGTAGATGCATCCTTTTCTTCTTTTTTTCTGTTGATAATGTGAGTCAAGTTGACTGAGTTTTGTCCAGATGTTGACCTGCCTCACACTTGTGGAGTGAGCCTCACTTACAGTGCAGTGGGTATTTTTATATGTGGGTGGATTTTGTTTATTGATATCTTAAGACCTTGTACTTATGTTCATGGTAATTTCCCTTTCTTAAGACTTGTCAGGTTTGAGTAGAAGGAGTCTCTAAACTTATTAAAAGGGCTAAAAAGTATTCCTCTAGGAATTTGTGTAGGATTGATGTTACTTCTTCCTTAAGTATATGGTAAAATTTGTTGTTAAAGTCCACTGGTTGTGGGAACTTTCTTAGTTTATTAATAATTGATCCAGCTCTCTTGTGGCTGTTAGACTATTCTGTTTCCTAATAATGTCCTTCCCACTTTGGTAAGAGTACTTTATTGGGAATCTTTCCATTTTATTCAAAATTTCAGTTATATTAATAAAAGTTGGTCATGTCTGCTCTTGTCTATGTTTTAGGACTTAAAGCACTAGGTGCATATATTGGTAATATGTATTATCTCTTCTTTTTTTTAAAATTCAACTTGTCTTTTTCAACCCTTCCAAGGACATCTGTCTTTGACTTTCTGCATTTTCAGCATCTCTGCTTTTTGAATGGTGTTTGTTCCCGTCTTTATTTCCTGCCACCACTTTCCTCCTGTCTGACTTACTCTTTCTTGGTTTGGTGGGCAAGGACTGAGTTTTTAAGACACGATCTCATGAGCCTGACGCTGCCCTTGAACTTAAAACATAGCCACATATGATGTTGAACTCCCAAGTACTAGGGTTGTAGGTGCTTCCTTAAATTTTTTTTTTTCTCTTTCAAAGACAGAGTATCAGCATGCAGCTCATCCTGGAACCTGTTATTTACCTCAGGCTAACCTCCAACTTGACATCTTTTTGTCTCAGCTCTTGAGCTTGGATGTTAGATTCTTGAGATAAAAACTTAAGTTCCTCACTTTTCAGTACTTTTGTCTAATTGTTTGTCACCCCGCCCCCGCTACGCCCTGCCTCATCTCTGCTGCAGCTTTCATAAGGCACACCTTCACGGTCATATAGTCAGGACGTTTGCTTCTTCTTCCTTCACTTTATTTGTAAAGACCTTGACATTTCCTTATTTTGTAACCTCAATTTAATAGATTAGTTACCTGTTACGCCTGTGATAAATTAGTACAAACATCCAACAAAAATTAGCTATGTCACAGGAGTCTTACTGGGCTAAGAAAGCAGAGTGCAGTGTGCTGCCTTGTTTCAGAGACCTTGAGGAAAAGCAGGGTTTCTGTTCTGTTTTGTTTTGTTTTGTTTGTTTCATTTAGTTTTGTTTTTTTAATGTTTCCAGCATTTAGAGCCTGCTTGACTCATGGCCACCCTCCATTGTCAGAGCCGGCTAGTGCTGAGTCACTGACACTAGCTCCCCAGCCCTCTTGCCCTTGGAAAGACAGACCCACACAATAATCTAGGATGACCTCCCCGCAGGACAGCTGCTTTTCCCTGTAGCATCATAAGTCGGGGATTCTAGAAGTTACGGTAGAGACATCTTTTTCAGGAAAGGATATTATTCTTCCAAGACTTTGTTTATGATCCAGAATATGGCTGACTTTGGTAGACACTCCATATATAACTGAGAAGAATTCCAATTCTGTCATGGTTTAACGCAGTGCTTCATGTCTATATACCAATCTTCAGGTTGTGTTGCATATGTCTTTTATATCATCAGTGTTCTCTTACATGGTTCTAACATCAACCATTACAAAATAAAGCAACTTAAAATCGAACATCATAAAAATGAATAAATAAAATTTTAAAACTGTTTTTCAAAATAGTTTTCAAATTTACCACCATGATTGTGGCTCTAATACCCTTTAATCCAGTTCATTTGTCTGATATATTTAGAATCTGGGTTAGATGTGTACATATTTAGGCTTGGGATAGCTTCCTCTCTGGCACCTTCAATGCTATAAATACCTTATTTCTTTTCTACACTGTCTCATGTCTTCTTTAGCTTTCCTTTTTTTGGTTTACATTTAATTATTTATGTTTGTGTACACATGCACGTACATACATACACACACACACACACACATGCACGTACATACATACACACACACACACACACACACACATACACAGACACACACATACATGCCTGGGTCCCATGATCTTGGGATCAAACTCAAGTCAGCAGGTTTGGTGGCAAGCAACTTTTTTTTTTATTCTTTTGGGACATTGAAAATCTTAAATACAGGCTATTTGTATTAGTCAGGGTTCTCTAGAGGAATAGAACTGATAAAATGAACATAGATTCATATATATATATGAATCTATGTTCATTTATTCATTCAATTTTCCATACACACACAGGGATTTATTAGATTGGCTTGCAGTCTGTGGTTCAGCTAGTCCAACAATAGCTGTATATCAATAGAAAAGTCCCAGAATCAAGTAGTTGTTCAGTCCACAAGGCTAGATGTCTCAGCAGTCTTCAGTGTACACCAGAATCCTGAAGAAGTAGGCTCTAATTCCAGTAATAGAATGAACTTGCCAGTGGAAGTAAGGGCAAGCAGACAGAGAGTAAGTTTCCGTCTTTGTTTTTTATATAGGCTGCCAGCAGAAGTCTTGACCCAGATTTAAGGTTGATCCTCCCATTTCAACTGATTTAATTATGAGAATCCCTCACAGTACCTAGCCACTTATGTTTATGTTAATTCCAGATGTGGTCAAGTTGTCAACCAAGAATAACAATCACACCATTTAATTTACTAAGCTTGACTCAAACTGCGTTTGCCTTCTGCTTTCTGGTAGTGAAAAAGGTTTGCAGTCTTGGTTGGACTGTCCCACGAGCCATGTCAGATCTCCCTTGGATCTCATCATGGGCAGTGCACGATGCCCTTTCACCAGCATGCTAATTGTGATCACTTTAGTTAATAAGAACCATTTTTTTCTCTGTTATATACTTCATAGAAATCCTACCTTATTGTTGATCGATCTGAGGAGAAATTGTTTCTTCTGTGTTATTATAACCATGTGTCTGAAACTGCTTACTCCAGTACACTTGATTTGTTCATACTTGCAGGGACGAACAGCTTTGCACTGGTCCTGTAATAATGGCTACCTTGATGCCATCAAACTACTGCTAGACTTTGCTGCTTTCCCTAATCAGATGGAGAACAATGAGGAGAGGTAAGTCATTGACTGGGAAGGGGAGTGAGCATAGTATTGTTTATCTCACAGCCTTTCTTTACATGAAAAAAAATCTCAAGTTGAGATATTGGTTCAGAAATAGTAAGTATAAAGGAAATACTGTACCAAGCAATCCTGAGCCACAGGAAAGAGACAGATTTTCATCCAGTGTTCACGTAGATCCATGGGAGCTTTGCTCCTGCTCAAAACTTCAGGTACTAGTTCCAGCAGGTTCACATTTGCAGGTGGGGAAAAGGATCCTTTTCAAACTCTCACTTGATATGTGGCCAGTGAAATTCTGACTGGACAGGCCCAGGAATTCATCTAGGCCAGCAGAGTGAGTTATATATGCAAGTTGTTTCTGTTACTGGTGAGGATATAATTAGTGAACAAAAGGCTGCCATCGAATGTCTGAAAACATGGAGAAGCTGAGATGAAAGCTGGACATCTATAAATAGCCATAAACACTGCCTTCTTCAATAATGTGATTCACAGAGATATGCTAGGGTTGTCACTCAAGGACTCCACCCAGTGAAGAGGCTCGGTCATGGCTGGGGGTGTGGCTCAGTTTCAAGGGCCTGGATCCACCCCCAGTATGGTTAGAAACAGTTCAAAGTGAAGTCTAAGCAGGAGAGACTCTGTAGCTCTTGGATCTGGGAAGATTCTTGTAAACTGTAGGTAATAACTAAGTCAGGCTTTCACATCCTCTTCCAGAGTCTGTCTTTATTATGGAAAAAAACTGAAGGTGCTTCTCTTTAAGCTCCAAATGAAAAACAGAAAGGAAAGATAAGAATCTCCTAAATTAGTGATTTCTTTAAAGAACTTCTAGGCCAAAAGGTAGAAGAGAGCCAACTCCTGAAAGTTGTTCTCTGATCTCTGTGTGTACCATGGCACTTGCTCACCCACATTCACACACACACACACATACACACACACACACACACTCACCCCACAGCATATCATCATCAATCAATAATTAAAAAGAAGGATTTACTAAAAGTGTTACTTCCTAGCTGTTCTCTTTGTAAAGAAACAATGAAAAAATGTTCTGGAGAGAGTGGCGGTACCCTGGCCTGCTTCTGTTTCCATAGCAGTGCACATGGATGTACACATGTAAGAAGCTGGCATTGCTGCTTATGCTTATTGACATCCTGGCTTGGGCATTCTGCTGAACCCATCAGCCTATTCCCATGTGGCAGGTCCAATTGTATATTATCTCTCATCAGTGTCTACATTGTTTCTTGGCTAGTTACCATCAATGCAGTGCTAATTTATACTTCTTGTGCATAGACATTAACCAAGTGGTGTACCTCAAATAGACATCATTTCTGCCAACTTCTTCTGGCTCTCAGTCAATAGCTATCTGACAGCCACTATCTCATGTCAATGGGAATATTCCCAGGGCTTGGATGTTTCTAAATGGAATGTGGGATGGAATGATAAGAACAGCACAGTTGCTGAAACACTAGATACAAATGTCAGCCTTAAAGCCTGGCTAGATAGTTACAGTCTATCCGCTTGAAGCTAAGATTGATTGGATCAAAAATCCTAATTTGAGGAATTATGCATTATATTTTACTAAGAAATTCCTGCTAATTTTTGTTCACATCTCCTTGTGGCTGTGCCCGTGTTGTGTGTAGATGAATGCTGAGACACAGAGAGATGGGCTGACAGGACTCCACAATTTGCTTTAAAATATTTCAGCAAAAACTCAAAGAAAGAAATTGAAAGAAATAAACATAGCAACAAAACCTTACCAAATACACATATTATATCCAAATTGATCTCACAAGTACTTCGATTCTACCAGAATGTATTCAAGAGTTGATAGAAAAGGAGGTTATATTAAACTGGGAGCTACTTGCAATCAATTATCATTTACATTCTGTACAAACTGGTTGCATAATTGTCAACAAGTTGCTTAATTTTCCCAGGTCTCTTTTTATTTATGAAATGCATGGAAAGGTCAGTTCACATTGCTGCCCTGTATTCAGCGGCTCTCTGATAATCTCATTAGTGAATGTGACAGAAGAGACACTGTCCAATTCTTAGTTCTTTGGAATTTACAAAGTATCATCTATTTATAAGTATCATTTGAGGCTACGTATTTATGGTCCTCTCTCCCCCAAACAGTAGTGGCATGTTCTCAGTTGAGGTGTTCGAAATGACCAGTTCTTTTCTTCAGCTATTGGGGTTTCAGCAAGGAAACTA